AGACATTAAGAATTGTTTAATATATAGCCGAAATTCACCTTGCCTTATTTGAACTTGCTGCTTTTTCTCTGTCTTGCTCTGTATAGGCCCATAAGCCATGGGTTTGTTGGCATGACTAGGCGTTTACTAAAATATGAGTTTACTTTTTCAATTGGTATCTTAAATGTTGTGAAGAGGAAAGTTCACTTGGATTTAGGAAGGCAAAAGCTCTAGGGTACCTGGAATACATCTGCAGGAAGATTTCAAGGCAAGAAAACAAGAATGAGTGTCTTGCAAACCACTACTGGCTCTAGAAATGACTTGGCAGGTGTGTTGCTGAGGGAACACGGGAAATTTGACATTTAGAGAGTGCTTCTGCCTGTGTACGTTTATGCCTTGTTTTCATGGAGGTAGCTCTTGCAATTGTTGTCACTAGAAGAATTAATGTGAAATGAGGATAAAACTGTCATGAACCTGCTATTTAAGAAACATCTTGATCCCTGGTGTGTAAACTCATCACTCTTAAAAGTAGTCTAGGATTAAAAGGCACCTTGCACCTCAATTGCAAAGGAATGATAACATCAAGAAAACTGCATCACTGCACTAAGAAAGTGAATTAAGAATATAATGTTGTTCTTTAGCTGTAGTGGACAGTATGAAGGATATTTTAAGCAAAAGGAAGAGTTTTCTCACTTTCTCAAACTTTCTGAGAGTGTACAGGAGTACTTAGATCATTGCCCTTGCTTGGTAAAAGATTGCATTGAAAAGAGAGAAGCTTGATGCCTACTAGGAAGCATATGGGGCTTTGCTCATAGCTTCTTGTTAAGTATTCACGCTGTTTTGTAGTTCCAATAAATAAATAAAGTCTCAGGGAACCTGTAGCAGCCTGGGACATGGTTATATCAGATTCAGTAACCAAACAGAGAAGGTGTTGTTCAAAGTCATGTAAACTGAGTTGTTGTTTTTCCCTATTCCCTTTTCAAAAGTCATTTAAAATTTCCTGTGCAATCATGGAGCTTAAATCCATGACATTAAATCCCAGCTTAATAATAATAATAAAAAAAAACTCAACAAAACGAAGAACAATTGTTATTAAAAAAATACACACACATACATATATGTCTATATATATATGTATAAACCCACCTAGGAAAGCACTAACGGTTGAAGAGTGTGCATACTATATAATGTCACTGGGAACAAGTTTGCCTAGTCAGCTGTGGCACAATGTCCTAGGGTAGCAGAGCTGGCTAGTTCAAATATTCTTTCAACAAGAGCTAAGTGTTGATGAGAAATAGATAAAAGATCACAACTGTTTCATAAACTTAAAGTGCTTTCTTTAATCTAAGCTTTCCATTTATTAACTAACAAGGAATGTCCTTCATTCTTCTTCTGGCCCCTTAAATCCTGAATCTATTCTCCTTGATAAGACAAAAGCTCTGTGTTTTTTCTATTGAAAGACTTTAGTAGATGAACAATAATTAATTTGAAAGACAGGAAAAGAAGAACATTTGATTCTTTTCGTATTATTGTCAGGTTTGGAATGGTCAAAGATGACAGATTAGACCAGACTATTTATTCCTCTGTGCCCATGATCACTTACAGAAACACGATAGAGTAAAATATGCGTTCTTGGCCTTTCTGAAGGAACAAGATTAGTATATGATCTGTATAAGTTTAGGTTTTCCTTGACTTTTTTGCTTCTACAGAGCATCTTGTCTGCTGTTCTGCGAGAAGCAAAAAAAAAAAGTTGTTCAGGTTGTGTGTGTAGAACCCTTTGCAGACATGAAATAATTCTCTGCCTCTTTGGGTCGCTGAGCATAGATTTCTCCCTGTTCAATGGTTAATTTGCCTTTGAATATTCTAAAATTAATATTCCAAAATAACAGTGAGGGTGACAGAGCACTGGCACAGGTTGCCAAGAGAGGTTGTGGCATCTCCTTCTCTGGAGATCTTCAAACCCGCTTGGACGCAGTCCTGTGCTACGTGCTCTAGGTGACCCTGTGTGTGCAGGAGGGCTGGACTAGATCATCTCTAGAGGTCTCTTCCAACCTTAAGCATTCTATGATTCTAAAATTGCAATATGTGACCACTGGGCATCTCTTATAGTGTGGCTGTTTGGGACAGACTTAGTATCTCCAAAAATGGAATCTGATTTTGTTTGAAAAAGATGCTAACACTTCCAGTGGACTTCCTGAAAGGCATCGTGGAGCCTCTCAACTTTTGAATGCCTTTAAACAAAGTGGGCTTGTGTTTTTTTTTTTTTAAAAGGAACATCTGAGCAAAACCACATTCTCTAAGAAAGTGAACACCGTATTCTGTATTCTGTGTTGCTGGCTTAGGCAGAATCTCACTTGCCTGGAGCTAATGTTTATCTCAGAAAAGGATTGTAGAGATACTTTTCCAAGAAACAGGGAAAAGGTTCTGATTCAAGTAAGGCAAATAATGAGGTGCCTGTCTGCTGGCAAATGAAATGGCCTAAAATGAAGCTGTGAGGGAGTAGCGAGATGAATATGCTGTCAGAGGCTGTTTCATAGAGGCAGAAAGACCAAAAATTCATAGAAAGACCAAAAAAAAGCATTTAATGAATGCAGAATATCTTGCGCCTACGGTAAGAGGGAATAATACAAATTCATAGCAGTGGCATCATCACCAAAACTCACTCTTTTGAGCTCTATTGCATTAAACTAGAACAAGGTAAATGGGTATATTTACATTTATTTGAACAACAATTTATGTGTGAGAGCTTATGACAGTGAAAGGAGAGGAGATTTGCGGTTTCTGTTCTGTCTAAAGCCCAAAGGACTGCAAGAGATGAATGCACAGCAGGAATCACTTTCTCTCTGCTATAGCTATGCTGGGAAGGAATAGAGTGCCTTGTTCCACCATCTCAAATGGTCAAGCTCTGTGTTAAATGGCATAAGCTGGTCCTTGTATGTTTTGAGTGGACAGTTTGTTTCATTTGATTGAAGTTCATAAACAGCTTACTTAACGTCTGATCACTAAAACTAATAAATGCTGAAGATTCATCCAGTGTTATGACTACCCATGTAAGTGAAATATGGGGACAAAATTAAGCATGCTGGACTGTTTAAAGTTCAGCAGCCTGGGCTGAGTAACTGATGATACCTTTATTTGCAAACCATGAGGAAATAAAGAGCATAAGAATACGAAGCATGCTAATATAAAACTAAATTGTAAACTAACGCTCGCCAAAGAACGGGCAGATGGTGGCTGCTGCTCGCCAGTAGTTAGGCGCGAGGATGCGCTAAGCAGCGCCTGGGCGGCACCGGGGCGGGCGCCAGCCGTTACT